TAAATTAATTTTTATCTTTTTAGATTAAAAAAATGGTCGACTCTTCCCAAAACCAATTCCCCACCATGTTCATTGTTGATGATATTCAATCACATCATGATAATTTAGCATTGATGCTATTGGTATTGATGGAAGTGGAACTTTCACCCCTGGTACTGATACTAGGGAAAAGAAAAAGAGGGCCTCTAAGTTGAATAGCCCAGTTTGGAAAATTTTTAAAGTAGATGATATTGAGGAGAAGGGAAAAATAGCACTTTGCCAAAAATGTAAAAAAGACTTTAGCTATTGTAACAAGGGTGGTACGAGTCATTTGAGCAGACATTTGCTCATACATGAGAAGGAAGAAGAAGAAGAAGAAGAAGAAGAAGAAGAAGAAATGAGAGAAACAACACAAACACAAATTGGGAGGGGGAGTTTTGGTACATTTAAATATTCACAAGAAAAAATGAGACAAGAATTAACAAAGTATATTGTATATGCAGAACAACAATTTATATTAGTTGAAGATACTAAGCTTGAAAGATGGTTGCGTAATTCTGTAAATCCATAATATAAAAAAGTTTCGAGAAATACTATTAGATTGGATGCTTTAAATTTTTTTTATTCACATTAACAAAATTTAATTTTTTTGTTATCAAATCTTAATTCTAAAGTTGCAAATACTTCTGATATTTGGACATTTAAATTTAACATAAGTTATATTTGTATTACCGGCCATTTTATTGATGAAAATTGGCTTTTAAATAAAAGAATTTTAAGTTTTACTAGGCTTGAATGACCACATACTGGCCCAACTATTGCTGCAAGTATTTTAAATACTTTACATGCTTATGGAATAAAAAATAAATATTTTAAAATCTTAATTAAAACCATATTTAAATGGTAAATTATTTTATATCAGATGTGCATGTCACATCTTAAATTTATGTATTCAAGATGCCTTGAATATTATTTCTACTCATATTTCTAAAATTAAAAACTGTATTATATATATTAAAAGTTTAGGGGCAAGAAAACAAGAATTTATATATTTATGTGAAAATTATGGTTTAAAATATAAACATTTTATATTAGATGTAAAACATAGGTGGAATTCTACCTATGCTCTGTTAAAAAGTTGTATTTCTCATAAATAAATTCTTAGTGATTTTTATAATGCCAAAATGTCTAATGATATTATATTTGATGAGGATTGGGAAATGGTAGTTTGTACAAGAGATTTTTTTAAAACATTTTATGATGCAACTAATGAATTATCAAGTATTTATTATCCAATTAGTTATTATTTACCTTATCTATTAATGATAACTAGTAATTGTTTTTCAAAATATAGAAATAACCCACAATTTAAATGTATTGCTGAAATAATGGAGAATAAATTTAAAAATATAGAAAGAACATTTCTCCCCTTTATTGTTTAGCTACAATATTAGACCCTATGATTAGGAAAGATGGTTTAAATATTTTACTTGAAATATATTGTGAAAATATGAATATTGAAATTGGAAATAAAAAAGGAGAAATTAATAATTTGTTATTTGAAGTGTACAGTTTATATGAATCTGAAACAGTAGGAAATATTCCCACAATTTGTATAGCATCTTCTACTTCTTATTTTGAGCCTAATAGTAGAAGAGAAAAACTTTTTTATTTAATAAACAGAAGGCAGAAATCTGCTACTTCTACAACAAGTTCATTTACTGAACTTAATTTTTATTTACAAGCAAATTTTTCTAGTTTAGGTGAGGGAACAAATAATTTTGATATTTTAACTTGGTGGAGTGAACATTAAAAAATTATCCAATTCTTGCCGCCATGGAATGTGATCTACTAACCCCTCCAGTGTCAACAGTTCCATCATAATCTTGTTTTAGTGTAGGTACCGGGTGTTGAACGACAAAATAAACTGCAAGAACAATGAAAGTATGGAGATGTGCATAAGCTTTAAAGATTAGATAGATGCAAAAGATAGATTGCAAGACAGAGGAGGGTATGATACTACACTGGATATTTCACCTTAAGAAGATGAAGAAAGTCATGATTCATGAAGTTGACTAGTTGTATAGAATTTTTTATTTTTTTCAAATTATTTTAATTTTTTTCATTTATTTGCTATTTTTTTAGAATTTTTTAACAATATAATTTTGTATTTTCAATTTGTAACTATATTGTATTTTTTAGATTTTATTAATTTATTCCATTTTCATATTTCATTCATCCAATTATCCAATGATCCAATCATTGTATTTGTAATTTGTATCATTCAAATTTAAATGAAATAAAATTCTTATTTTTCTTCCAATTTGTTATTCCATCATTCTTATTTGGTTAAGTAATTTTTTTTTCATTTATGTGTTAGATAACTTAGATTTCTCATTTCTCATTTCTTAATTTTTCAAATAGCTTCTGATGCGGCACGATCTGGGTACTCCTAACTGGCTGCTGACTGGCTCCTTGTTGACAACGGACGACACTTGAGAAGATGGAAAATAAGGATTCCCGAGGATTTACCCGGTGGGAATACTCTGAAGCTTAAGTCAGGATGTTGGGGAAGGAGAAAAAAGAGTGCGAAAGCTAAGAGTGTAGGTCATGCTTTATCACTATGCTCGAGAGATTAGCTCGCGAGCAAGTAAAGTTGAGAATATGAGAGTGCGGAAGTATTCAAAAGTCTGAAAAAAGATCCATTTTCTCCTTTGCCTTAAGGGCTTTTATAGGGGAGTTCTTGTCAAATCGGGCGTAACCGCCACTGGGCCCCTGCCGCAGCCGTTACCTGCAAGGCTGTGCAGGTGATTGTTGCAATGTACCTCTTGCTCGGATGAGTGATACGTCTTAAAGGGGCAGGCACGCCTCCGCCTGCTGAGAGACGTGGGTGCAAACTGTCAAAAGGACAGGGACTGCGCCATCAGTCAAGAGACGTGGCGCAGTCTGATCGGTATGGTTTGTCAGGTAGAAGCTTCATGAGAAACGTCTATGCTGCTCATTCGCAAGCTACTTTGTAGCGAGCTTAGGAATACTTCGAGGTTACCCTTACTAAGGTTGTTCTCTGGGGTGACTTATCCGCTTAGGGGCTAGAGCGAGCTGGTTTCCCTAGCTCGCAAGCTGAAGCAGTCTTGGAGTACCCCCTTCTAAGTAGCTCGGGGGACCCGGAGCTTGTGTTGTAGCGAGCTCTTTCTACAGCGAACTATGATATAGCGTGCTGCTCTATGGGCTCGTTACTTAGCCGTGATCAGGCTATGATGCTGAGTTGTTGCCCGTGCTGAGTCAGGTTCATGTGTTATCATTTCATAGGTCGGGTCAAATCATCCTCCATCAGCTTCCAAAGTTCAAAGGAAAATTAGATTTCTCATTTTAGTTTTACACTTTTACTTAGAAAATAAATAAAAAATTTCAAAGACAAAAACAAAAAAAAAGTCAAAAAAATCAATCTAACCCGATTCGGCTTAGGCTCAAGGCCTGCCTTATGGCCCAGCCCAACCCAGGCCCATAGCACGATAAAGCATGGCACGGGCCTGGGCTGTGGGCCATGCCAGGCCAACCCCCAAAATTTTCACCAGGAAGGGTGGCACGGCCCATGGCAGCCCGTGGGCCAGCATAGCATGGCCAACACTTTGCACAGGCCACCCGCGGGCCAGCCCGACACGGCCCACTTTACACCTCTAGCTAAACGCTCCTATACAACAAATCGGCTCGCACTGTTATCTATCTAGTGAGGGACCTTGTTTCCCAAGGGGTTGGTTAATTAACTATATTTAAAATAATTACAGTATTTTTAAATAAGAAATAGTATTTCTTAAAAAAAGTAATTAATTAACACTAACATACTTAACAGTAATTATTTTTAAACCGTAATTAAATTATTTTTAAACTATAATTAACAATAATTATAATTTAAGATATAAATAGCAGAATTTAATTTTCATAAATTAGTGTATTTATTAATTAACAGTGGTTATATTTTAATTATTTTATTTTTAGATAAATACAGTAGTTTAATGATTACAATATTTTAATAGAAATAGTATTTATCAAAAAACAGTATTTATAATTACAGTGTGAACATTATCTATATAATAATAATAATAATATTATTATTATTATTATTATTTAAGTAACCTATTAAATTATTTTTACTTTGATTAATTAATTTTTATTAATTAAATTATTTTTGTAATGATTATATTAATAATTGATAATTATATAAATAAAAATAATTTATATTAGTTACTTAAATAAATATAATAATAATATTATCAATATTAATAATAATATTATATTGTTATATTAGTTGTTTAACAAATTGATTAGATCATTCTTTTGATTGTTTCAATTTATTTACAAGTATTGATTGTTTTATTCTTGAATCTTGATTAACAAAACCCGTGCCTCGCACGGATCCCCACCAGTAAAAACCCCTAATTCTGTAAATGACAATTCTAAATTTCTAATCACTCGTTGTTGCCATATTTGAAGACTTCTAACAATCCACCAGAGGAATATATGTCTCAATCACAAAACAGAGTTGCTTGAACAGCTATTCTTGGGGTTTGACCAATCAGATATATTGTTGTTGTCCTTAACTCCTCCTATGCCAAGATGGTGTACCAGTTGCTATTGGCAACAACACTACAGACTCCAGAGACCAGCGGAGATGATGTGATTTCTAATGAAACGTGGAAAGTGACAACCGACAACCAGGCCATTTACTGTTTCGAGCTCTCTGTTTGTAATGGCGGTGACAGTGACGCGTCTTCTGTCACCACTCACCTGCACCAGATCCAATACCGCGTCACTGAGTAAGCTCTCATTTTTCTTCCATAAAATAATTGTCGAACAAATTTCCAAGTGGGGGACAACTGAGAATTGTTTATTCGTTCACTTTCTCATATGGGCTGTAGCCAGTTCAGAACCTCGCGTAAAAGAAAGGAACTCAGTCCGAACCTTCCTCTGTCCATCCCTCTCCGCAAATCCAAATCCCACCACCTATAAAGACGGCCTTTTAGCATTAATGAATCTCACTTCACTCACAACTTTAAACAATAGTTGTTCATTCTTCGAGTCCTGTCAATCAAATCTCTACAATCAACGATTAGCGATGGCTTCTTCCTCTTCTCCTTATCCTGGGATTTTCTTAAAATCTCTGTTTTCTTTTCTGGTTTTGAGCTCTTTAGCTATGGCTAGTAATTTCAACCAAGACTTCGACATCACATGGGGCGATGGTCGAGCACAGATACTCAACAATGGGGAGCTTCTCACTCTCTCCCTTGACAAGGCCTCTGGCTCTGGCTTCCAATCCAAGCACGAGTACCTCTTTGGTAAGATAGACATGCAGCTCAAGCTCGTCGCCGGCAACTCAGCCGGCACGGTCACGGCCTACTACTTATCATCTCAGGGACCGACCCATGACGAGATTGACTTCGAATTTCTCGGCAACCTCAGCGGTGATCCCTATATTCTACACACTAATGTCTTCAGCCAGGGGAAGGGAAACAGGGAGCAACAGTTCTATCTCTGGTTCGATCCTACAGCAGACTTCCACACTTATTCCATTCTCTGGAACCCCCAACGCATTATCTTCTCTGTAGATGGAATACCCATCAGAGAATTCAAGAACTCAGAATCCATTGGAGTTCCATTCCCCAAGAACCAGGCCATGAGAATCTACTCCAGCCTATGGAATGCTGATGATTGGGCCACAAGGGGTGGCCTTGTCAAGACCGATTGGACAAAAGCACCATTTACAGCTTCCTATAGAAACTTCAACGCCAACGCCTGCGTCATGTCTTCAGGCTCCTCTTCTTGTGACTCCAAATCTCCCACTTCAACAACTGACAATCTCCAATGGCTATCGCAAGAGCTGGACTCAGCTGGTCAAGAGAGGATGAAATGGGTGCAGAACAATTATATGATCTACAATTACTGCGCAGATACAAAGCGTTTTCCTCAGGGCCTCCCTCCTGAGTGCTCCAACACCAACATGTCTTAGAGCAGCTTGTTTTAGAACATTCTTTTGTTTCCAGGCTTCACAAATTATTTCATTTATTTATATATTTATTCATTTTGATCTTCGCTATTGTAATCTAAACCAACATCATAAGGAAATTTTGATAATATATATCAGAAAGTTTTGTTATTTCATCCTCTACACTTCTCTTATTTATTTTTTTATTGTTTATCTAATCGTTATGTTTCAGTAAAGTATCTATTTGTTAGACCAAACCATCTGTTTTTTTTTTTTTTTTTTTTTCTTTCGATAAGCAAATGTTTCTATTAAAACAGCAAGAACAAGAAACACAGATTACAACTCTTCATCCGAATGAATGTCCACACTCCACAGAGGCTAATAAACCAGGACGGCAAAAAAGAAACAAACTCCCCTTCCCATAAGGCTAACAATGGTCCTTCACAAGTTATAACTTTTAGCTATTTCTAACAATTTTGGAGGAATAGTTATACATATCAAATAAAATACCAATGTCTAATGCGCCAACAGCTAGAAGGTAGTCCATGTTTTTAGGCCCATAGAGAAACCCACTGGGCCTCATTCATTAGATTATTATGCATTACTCGGCCTATGCACCAAAAAAATCCGTGCCTAAAACTAATTTCTTGGGCCCACTTGAGGAATCAAGTTGTAACAATGTTTCATCACTTTAAAATCATCATTGAAGGTGATGGCCATGCTAGTATGGTACCCCACGCCACTCTAGTTTTTAGTTGTAATTTTCCAAAACCAGCAAAAAGAAAAAGGCCTCTCACTCAAATATTTAGAAACCATACCACACACAGGTGTACTTTAAATAACACATGATTTATCAGTCGGCTTGCCTGAAATTGGGTTATCCCTTCACTCATAAAAAAGAAAGTTACCCAAAAACCCTCAATACAAGCTCAAATAATGCTTGGGCATGGTTATGGTTTCCTAATCCTGCTCAAACCAGAGGTTTAAATAAGCCCAATCCCACTTTTGGGTGATTAAAACATAACTTCTATACATATATTAATTAAGAATACATCCAACTATTATTATTTGTTTTTGATAACACATCCATCTAGCAGAAAATCACCAATCCAGATGAGTTGGAGACAAAGTCATACGCATCCGATTGAAATACCTATCAGAGTTGAGCATGTCAGTGTTTTGGATCTTAAATGGGCCCACAGTAGCACTGGTGTGTTCTAACCCTAATAGATAATTCAGGCAGGTGTGTATGTTTTTGTCTCCAGCTATCCTTGCTATAAGTTTTTTTTTACTAGACCACAATCAATCTTCTATACCATTTAAATAAATAACTTTAATTTTGAAGTAGAAAGAAATGGCCGGTGCGGCAAATTGTTATTGGTGTAGTAGAGAAAATTTTCTGTATCAAGGGTAATGAATTCCTCTGGCTGTGCTGATGAAATAATATACAATTTTAATATGTTCAGTACTGATAATACAAGTTTTGTCTTTCCGTGTTGTCTCAATTTATTTATTAATTAACCTCAGAATCAAACGGATCTTGTCCAAGAGATCTTCTATGCAAAAAACAAGATCAAATAAATAAAATATTTTATTTATTTTTGAGATCAACTCCATTACTAAGGATGGCTGTGGTGGTTTTGTAATCCTGTGCAAAACTCAGTGTGTTAGATTTTTAGAATACAAATCCTCCCTATACATTAAAATGCAAAACTATAGATGACAATGTTAGGTCTAGACCCTTATCTAATTTGTCCATTATTTTCTTTTATATATAAGCAATAATTATGTAAATAATATGAACAAACATTAAGATATATAAATTATTTTATTAAAATATGTAGAAAACATATAAATTATTAATTATTATTCATAAAAAATTGAAAATGTTATTAAACTCAATATACCTTTCAACAATATATAATTAGGATGGGTCGGATTTAGCCTAGTACTCTACCTTATCCATACTTGTTTGGATTGTAAAATCCGATACCTGTACAACCTCAAAATTTAATTTTCAAGAAAAAAAATAAAAATTATACTGCATTTCATCTCAGAATTCTAAATTCTATTGTAGACATACAGCAATTCAAAATTTGAAAATACCCCCACTTATTATACCAGTACCTGTCTGTGTATTAACATTAATACCAAACTGGCACCTACCCCAACTATACTTTAGAGCATAGTTGGATTTATTGGGGTGGACTGAACAATAAAAACCCAAAGGAAAAAAAAAAAAAAACACCCCATCGGAGTGGATAGGGGCGGGTATCATCCAGGTAAGGTAGAAATTTCCATCCGTACCCAGTACTCCGATTTTTATTATATGCCGTTTGAATTAAGAGACTTCTGAAGGTGGATCTCAACTGGCCAAATGGCCAATTATTGTTTACATGAGACATAATTGTGAGAAGACTAATTCCCCTTTTTGTTGTGGTGTGGGGATGGTTGCTGGAAGCGGAACCAGCTGGTTGTGGGTTGGTTAAAAGTGAACTGAGACAGCCACGGACAAAGGAAGCAGTTCTCCATTTTCCTCACCAGCCCAGTTCCTCCCTACCCTAGTAATCTTTTCCTAGCCAACTGTTAACAGCTAAAACTTGGCATTGAACCTTCCATGCTTTCATTTGACTTGTTTTCTGCAGCCACTACGATAAATAGGTATCCTCTGATCAATCAATGAACCATCATTAGTTCCAACTTGAATTTCATCGATCTAGCTAGTCTAATAACACCATGGCTGCTCTTTCTTCCTCTGCTGTTTCAGCAATGCTGCTTGTCCTTCTAGCTAGCTTTTTCATGGCTACCTCTGCTAGTACTTTCTTCCAAGACTTCGACATTACTTGGGGCGACGGTCGTGCAAAGATTTTCAACAATGGGAAACTTCTTACTCTGTCCCTCGACAAAGCCTCTGGTTGTGGCTTTCAATCCAAGAGGGAATATCTCTTTGGAAGTATCGACATGCAGCTTAAGCTTGTTCCTGGCAACTCTGCTGGAACTGTTACTGCCTACTATGTGAGCTCCGACTTCTTTGTGTGATCATATGATTCATCTCTTTTCCATGCAACAAGGTCCTTAGACTGACATCTATGTGTACGCGTCTTGTGTTGCAGTTGTCATCTCAGGGCCCAAATCATGATGAAATTGACTTTGAATTCTTGGGGAACCTCAGTGGAGATCCTTACATTCTTCACACTAACGTTTTCAGCCAAGGGAAGGGAAACAGAGAGCAGCAGTTTTTCCTCTGGTTCGACCCCACCAAAGATTTCCATACCTACTCAATTCTCTGGAACCCCCAAAGTATAATGTAAGCACCAATCCATTCGGTATGCATGGATTAACAATTTTCTGTACTGTTTTTCTGAAACTTGCTTGTTTTGTCTTCTCTTTTCAGATTCTCTGTGGATAGAATTCCCATCAGAGAGTTCAAGAACTTAGAGCCGATTGGCGTTCCTTTTCCTAAAAACCAGCCGATGAGAATCTACTCCAGTCTCTGGAATGCCGACGACTGGGCCACGAGGGGCGGACTCATCAAGACAGACTGGACTAAAGCTCCATTTACTGCATCTTACAGAAACTTCAAAGCAAATGCTTGTGTCTGGTCATCTGGGGCTTCGTCTTGCAGTTCCCAGTCATTGGTCTCCACAGTCAACTACAACAAAGCCTGGTTATCACGGCAACTGGATTCCACAAGCCAAGAGAAGATGAGATGGGTACAGAGGAATTACATGATTTACAACTATTGCACCGACACAAAACGCTTCCCTCAAGGCCTCCCTCCAGAATGTGTCCACACCAACTGAAAAGGATTTCAAGTTTCAATACTAAAATCAAATCTAGCTAGGCTTTGTGTGCAGTACTCCATTCATTCATTCATTTTCTCTTACCTCTTTTTCGTTTTTTTAATCTCCAAACCAAAATACTTTTATTCATCATTTTCTTTGTTGCTATAAAACTGTATTGTACGTTGATGAATTTTATCCATGGTTGAGCTGGGTCAAACTGACCTGTCTATCTAAGCAATGAGCAGTCTGGTTTCTAGAACATTTATGTAACTTTACAATCAGCAACCGTTTCCATGACGAAGTTTCTAATTCTATGTATTATGTAATTTGTCTGGTTTGAACGTTGCATTCACGCATAAGTTGGTAGAGATTGTTTCACAAAGAAAGCAATTCTTGTTACCATAGGTTGTTTTTGCCATGTCACGTTTACAACTTCTATTACCTTTCTCATAGCTGACTTCTAGCTAACGAACCTAATCACCTTAGCCTAACAGTTCGGTCATCCATGTATTCAAATTTAAATGCGTAATTTGTATTCAAATTCAAGGGAAAATCTATGATTCCAAAAAGGTATCATGTTCAAAGGTACTAACCAAACAGAAAATCTCCACATAAATTTGGTTCAATACTAGAAGTTCTGTCGGAAAGAGAGAGACTTGCAGAGGCAGAGGTATTAGGGTCAGTGGACCCGCGAGGGATGTCCACGTGGCAAAATCAGTGGGGCTGTTCCTTTGGGGTGGTGAGAAGTTTTCAAGCGAAGCATTCAGGAGGTTTGAAGAAGAAGCGGAAGAGGCGAGCATAAAGGGAGAATATCCAAAGTAATCCTTGCCATCTTCCTCATTTTTCTTGGGAATATCAAAATTACCAAAAAAAACAGATGCCCAATTTGTATCGTAGAATAACCGCTCAGCCCAAGGTCAGAATTTGTAGGCTCAAATTACATTTGGGATAGGTGCCAGTTCAGAATTGATGCCAATTTAGGGGCAGGTATGAATGTATAGAATATAGGTTTTTGATCTTTTGAATGTTTATAACTCTGTAATGAAAATAAAAAATCTGCATTGGGCTAGTTTTTTAGTTTCTATAGTAACCATCTTAAGAGTTTCTATACAAAACTCTTTTTCCCTTCCTCTTAAGAGTTTCTATAGTAATCATCTCTCAAATTTGGCTAGTTTTTTTCTTTCCACCCCTAATAGTAATAATAGGGATGACTTTGACAACAACCATAGAACCACGAACATCACCTATATTAATGCTTCATACTATGACTAGACATCTTCCCAGCTCAACATGTTGGTATAGGGATTTTGAGAGGAACCAACCATTTTTGAAAACTTGTAGTATTGAACCCTAAAAAGTGAAAAATAAATGCAACTTACCTAGTATATGTTTGGTTATGTTGGTGTTTATTGTTTTGAACATTTATTTTAACAACTTCACTTTAAAAGTTTTTTACTTTATAACTCAGATTAATACCCCATAAAGTATGTCACATAAGCATTTCATTTCAAGAAATGCCTAGGCATTGGGGGAAACAAGAGTTTAACATTTCCCCAAATGCCCCATGCACATAAATCCAGGTGTTTATGCTTTTTAGTGTTTATATTTGATAAATGAAACCAAACAGCGGTTTCATGCTCAATAAACACAAATGCCCATGTGGTGCTGATGTGGCTGTGTTTTTTCAATAAATGCCAAGGGATCCAAACATCCCCCTAGTCTACAAGTCCAAAATCTCAATTTAATTTCAATTGATGAAGCTTCTAAGTCTCTCAAATTACTTGAGATACTTGAGCAAGCCTTCCTTTTATTGAAACTTAAACAAAGTTTTATAAAAAAAATAAACTTAAATAAAGTTGAAAATTAGGGATTAGGGAGTAAGAGATTAAAAAGAGTATTAGAGAGAGTATGAATGTATGTGAGTACCCTTTAAACTAGTTGTTTTGTAATTATGGAGAGGGGTATTTTGGTCTTTCATAAAGTTAGTTATAACTTTACAAAAACACCCCCAAACTAGCTATTATATATTTGTAGGGGGGATTATTGTCATTTTCCTCTCCTTAACACCAAAATACAAAAATGCCCCCAAATTAGTTGTTTATAGAGGTGTAAATCGGGTCGTGTTGTCCACGGCTTGGCATGATGGCACCTGCCCCTTCCAGGCTCAACACAATGGTTTGGGTCATGCTAAGCCTAGGGTTCCAGGTTCACGGGTCGGCACGACACACACAATCGTGTGTCGTGCTACTCGCGGCCCACATGCCAACTGGCACAACACGGCCCGCAGGCCCATAGCGGGCCACACTCGCCCCCTAGTAAACTTAGGGGGTCCCCAACGGCTAGTTTTAGCTTTGGGGGGGGTTTATAGAAATACCCCCAACAGCTATAAATAGCAAAATTGGGGGTATTTATTTATTTTGGTTTTGAGGGGGAGAAAGAATGACAAAAGTGCCCTCCAATAGCTATATAACGGCCGATTTGGGGGCATTTTAGGTAAAGTGATAAATAACTTTACAATGACCAAAATACCCCTCACAATAACTAAAAAATGGCTAGTTTTTAGGGTATTTTGGGCAATTGATTTACTTTCAATTCCTATAAATAGCCCTATCCTCCACTATTCTCATCACACCAATTCAACAATTCCTATAAATAGCCCTATCCTCCACCATTTTCAATTCCTACATTTATCAAAGTCAAGAACAATAGGAAAAAATAATGAAATCAATATTTTTTGTATGTTGTATAGCATTTTTTTAAATTATTGTAAATTTTGTTTTAATTTTATTTGATATTTTTAATAACGTAATTTTTTTATTTTCAATTTGTAACTATACTATAATTTTTATATTTTATTAATTTATTCCATTTTCCAATTTTCATATTTCATTCATCCAACCATTGTATGCTTAGTATCATTCAAATTTAAATGAAATAAAATTCCTATTTTTCTTCCAATTTGTTATTCACTTTGAATCTTTGTCTCTTTAACTTCTTATTTGGTTAAGTATTTTTTCATTTGTTTGTTAAATTTCTTATTTTTTAAAATAGTTTCCAAAGGAAAGTTAAATATTTTAGTTTTACTTAACAAAGAAATAAAAAAGTAAAAAATGTCAAAAAAACAAATAGAACAAATAAAAAACTAGCTTGGCCCGGTTCGGCCCAAGCCCAAGGCTTGGCCTATGGCCCAACCTGGCATGGCCCAGGCCTACGGCATGGCCTGCAGCCCATTGGCCTAGGCCCATGGCCCAGTACGGGCCTGCACGAACTTAGGCTGTGGGTCGTGTTGGGCTGACCCCCAAATTATCCCTGGAAGGGTGGCACAGCCCAAAACGGCCCAACCAGCACGACAAGCCCACACTTTGCACAGATCATGCCATGCCGGCCTTACACAGCACATTTTACACCTCTAGTTGTTTATATCCATTGGGGTGTTCATATATAAAAAATAAAAAATAAAAAATAAAAAATAAAACCCAAAAAGTAAACACCAGTCGTCGGGACCTCAACATTATATTTAAAGTGGGCTGCCTTAATCTCGAGACTGATGGTACAAGCCAGTTACTTGGACTCGGCAAGGGGATTAGCTATTGGGTTTTGCGCATGAAACTAATCTCGAGACTGATGGTACGAGCCAGTTACTTAGATTGGGCAAGGGGCATTAGCTATTGGGTAAAATGTAAAACGTGGAAACTGAGTGATTAGTTGGGTTTCAAACACAAGCATATGGGCTTAGATTGAGAGGAATACAGGTACAAAAGAAAGGAAGAAAGAGTAGGAAACACAAAACTATATGTTGTTTTTTTTAGTTTATGTTCATTAATTCACAATAGAAAAATATACCTTATTATTTTGTTTTCTTTATTAAAAGTTTGGCATAAGTCTCGAACCCAGACTGGGCTCGAGGTTAAGCCCGATTTTTCCAATCCAAGCTCGACCCACATTGTAATATGATGCACTCGGGTTGGGTTTAGGCTTGGGGCGGACTCGGGTTGGTCAATGAACCCACTCTAAAATTATACATATATATATGTATGTTAGTGCAAATATGTATACATACATACATACACACACACATATATATATATACACACATATATATGTATAGTTGGGTCAGGCTTGGGCTACCTAAGGGCTAGGCCCGGGCCACCTTGAAAAGTAAAAAGCCCAACTTTTTGGGCCCGAGTCTGATCTAAGGACAAAAAATCCAAGCCTAGCCCATGTAAAACTTTGGGTTGGGCCGGTTCAAGCTCGTGTTAGGCCTGCCCAAGTTACACCCTTACTCTCACCTAATTCTCTCTCTCTCTCTCTCTCCTATTCTTTATCTCAGCTTTTATTATTCATTTATTTATTTTTCTATTATTATCTAAACATTTATTTATTTTATTATTATTTATGATTATGCCATCCTATAAAATAAAATTCCATCTCTCTTCTCTCTCTCCTCCTATTCTTTATCTCAACTTTTATTATTCATTTATTTTTTTTTTATTATTACCCAAGCATTTATTTATTTAATAAAATTATATAAATTTATAAATCAATAAAATAAAGGAGATTGGGGATAGGGGATAAGGGGTAGGGGGAATAAATATGGATGGCCATTGAGGGGGGCAACCATTGGGGTGAGGAGTCGGGGAGGGGGAAAAATATACATGAAAAGTGGGGATTTACTGGGCCATATGGGAGCCATGGCTCCTTGGAGTCCCCTTGTCTCCACCCCCGGATTAAACCTATTCATAGGCCACGCTAGACTTTGCCTTTATATCAACGAAACATATTGAAGCCCAAGCCTGAGCATGACTAGACCATTGGGCCTAGATCTTGAGCCCAAACCTGGTCCCATATAAAACCCGAAGCCTAGCTAAGAAATTAAGAAAAAAGATTTGTATTCTTTATTTTAAAACATAAAATTTTAATTTAAATAAATATATTATTATCCATAAATGTTTACATATTTTAAGTAAATGTTTTTTCTTAAAAACTTATAATTAAAAAAATTATCTTTTACAAATTCATTTTTTCCTATACAATAATTTAGTTTCGGAAAGCCTGCAAGGCTGCAGTGCACACCCCTCTCCTAGTAAAGCTTATTAAGATGATAACAAAAGAAATCCTCACTGTTTTCAAAATCAGACCTGACCGGAAAAATTGGGAGTCGGTCACCTGACCGGTTAACCGTTGATTTTGGTCAGCAAACCGCTGAATCGGCTGGTTAACCGTTTGAATGGTTTTCACCATTTTCCAACTTTTTAGTTTTTTTAAAATTTTTTATTTTTTTTGTTAGAATGGGCCGGCCGTTCGGGTCAACGGTCGGACCGTTTGAACCGATAACCAGACCCCTGACCGATTCGTTTTTTAAAACCATGGAAATACTAGTGAGGAAATCTGCTTTTGAAGGCTTGACATCGAACCAAACAGAGAGCCTCCCGCTCCACACACACTGCAGTAAATTCCGCTTTTATAGGCTTGGAAACTTAGTTAAATCTTCCACTTGAAGCCAGTATAAATTTTAGCTAATTAGAAAATCTGGATGTGAGAAGGATTAAGTGAGGAAATCTGGATGCTATTGTTGTCCGTGGTGGAACGTGGAAAGTGACAACCTGTCAATTACAGCTGCTTGTTTGTACTTTGTAATGGCGGTGAGAGAGACGCGTCTTCTGTCAGTCTGTCAGCACTCACTAGCGCACCCAAACCAGGTGTTATTTAATTTCTCCCTCCATTAAAAAACGTCCAAAGTGGATGAGAACTGTTCATTGGGGTTTACATGGGCCAAAGCCAACTCAGGTCCTTGCACGAAAGAAAGAAACACCATCCGAACCTTCCTCGTCCACGCGTTTCTGCAAATCCCACTACCCATAAAAGGCCTTCTTCAACCATAAATCAATCTCACTTCACTCAGAACTCGCAACCAGTTCCCCATTCAATTCTTTGTGTCCTACTAAGTAAAACTCTACTCAACAACTAGCAATGGCTTATTCTTCCTCTACTTCTCCTGGGCTCTCCTTAAAGTTTCTGTCTTGTCTACTGGTTTTGGGCTCTTTGGCTATTGTTGCTTCGGCTAGTAGTTTTTACCAAGATTTCGATGTCACATGGGGCGATGGTCGAGCAAAGATACTCAACACTGGGGAGCTTCTGACTCTGTCCCTTGACAAGGCCTCTGGCTCCGGCTTCCAATCCAAGCACGAGTACCTCTTCGGTAAGATAGACATGCAGCTCAAGCTTGTCCCCGGCAACTCAGCCGGCACGGTCACGGCCTACTACTTGTCATCTCAGGGGCCGACCCATGACGAGATTGACTTCGAATTCCTCGGCAACCTCAGCGGCGACCCTTATATTCTCCATACAAATGTCTTCAGTCAGGGAAAGGGAAACAGGGAGCAACAATTCTATCTCTGGTTCGATCCTACAGCAGACTTCCACACCTACTCCATCCTTTGGAACCCCCGACGCATAATCTTCTCTGTAGATGGAACGCCCATCAGAGAATTCAAGAACTCAGAATCCATTGGAGTTCCATTCCCCAAGAACCAGCCCATGAGGATCTACTCCAGCCTATGGAATGCTGATGACTGGGCCACCAGGGGTGGCCTTGTCAAGACCGATTGGACAAAGGCACCATTTACAGCCTCCTACAGAAACTTCAATGCCAATAACGCCTGCATCTGGTCTTCAGGCTCCTCTTCTTGCGACTCCAAATCTCCCACTTCAACGACAAATGATTCTCAATGGCTCTCGCAGGAGCTAGATTCAGCTGGTCAAGAGAAGATGAGATGGGTGCAAAAGAATTACATGATCTACAATTACTGCACGGATACAAAGCGCTTCCCCCGGGGCCTCCCTTCCGAATGCGCCAACGTTAACCTTTCTTAATTCTTAGAGCAACTTGTCCTATACCAAGCATTTCACAAATTATTTTATTCGTTTATATGTAAAACAACATCACAAAGAATTTTTTATTACATAAATAATCTAGTCATTTCGTCCATATACTTCTTTTCTTTATTTGTTTAACTTTTTGTCTATAGTATCTTATGTTTCAATAAAATATGGTAGGCTAATTTATTAATTATGTTGGTTTTTTTCAAGTTGAAACATCCAAGAAGAATATTAATGAACGCAACTGAACCTGATCCTTGATGGGCTTGGGCCTTGGTAATGGACAACGTGCATTTGGATCCAATATATTTGAGGATATTTGAGCGTAAAATTTTCTTTTACAAGTCCATTGCCAGTTCATTTTATTTTATTTTATTGTTTGAAGTCTATGTCCCAGTTTATTTGACATAATTAAATAACCACAGTTTAGATAAATATCATTTTTAGTATCAGGTAACAAACATCATGCCGTTAGATTCGGACTCCATTGTCCTGTGTCCATGGAACGGGTCTGGATCCAATCACTCTGATTTCAATTAGTTAAGCATATGTTCGTAAATAATCACCACAATAAGTCAAAGAGTAGGGGTGAACACGAACCAAGCTATTTACAGCCTAATCGAGTTTGTATTATATATAATTTTTTTATTTTTTTACTTTTAACATAAACAGTTTGTCTCCTTTTTTTTTTTTGTCAAGTCAAAATCGAATAGTCAAATATTCGATTTGACTCGCCTCGAATTCACCTCTAATCAATACATATTTGATTTTCACCCTTATTGCCAATGCTTCCCCAAACCCAATCCAATAGCATGTAGGCATGTAGCTTCCAAATTAACCTATTTTGACCTTGTAGGGTTCAACAAATAACACCGATGCAGTCTTTCAATTGCTTTTTTTATAAAACATTTTAAAAATTCAAGAGCCTTTAATTATATTAGAATTTGGTTTATGGGCTCCAAGATATCACTTCCTCCATAGTGAAAACAACAAGAATATTCTCTGTATATATAAGGGTATTATAACCAGCAAGCCGGGATAGTGTAACCCGAACCGATTTAGGTCGAAGAATCGAAACCCCAATTCGACCCTATACCCAAATAAACTTGAGCCTAGTCCGACCCTATAGAGTCAATCGAGATCGTTTAATCCGACCCACTAGCATTTTTTGCAATTTAAAAGTAGGGAGACATTCTAACCAGTTTGAACATTGACAGCCAAGTTTTTCTTACGGACCCATTTGGGAGGGCTAAGCTGAACATAAGTTTTGGTTCAACTAAATTAATTTGTTGAGCTGCATAAGTAAGCTGCTGACAACTTAGCTTTAACTGCTTCAGAAAGTCAGAGATTGGTTAGAATAGAAAGTCAATAATCTTAGGAAGGTGCTCCTGGACAGCCCTTCAACTGGCTGATCAACAGCCATGCACTTTGTCTCTCCGGATTACAATACGAGTCTTGATTTCTTAAGTTCGGCCCCATATATGGACATATTATAAGTATTTTGGGGGAAAACTGCATGGGGAGCTCAAATTAACGATTAAAGGCTGTCCGCTTCAGCTTATTAGCTGAATTTTCAAATTAGCCCTTCCAAACGAGCCCTCCACCGGCCAACATCGTCTTGTTGTGTTCATGATGAAATATTATAGAATTGTATAAAAAAGTAATATTGCAGAATTTTATAATGTCCAGTACTGATTTATTAGTACATATTTGTCTAATTGTCACCATTTATTTATTGTTGACCAGTTGGGAGTCATGGTAAGTACCTTCCCAGAATCAAACGGATCTAGTCTAAGATATCTTCCATGCAACAAATTCAAATAAATAAAAACTTTCAATTATTTTGAGATCAGCCCACCACATCTTTCTATATATCTTTTCTTTTTCTTATCATATATTTCAAGGTGGGTCCCAATTGGCCAATTGTTTACACGAGACATGATTGTGTGTATGGGAATGCTGGCAAGTGGAAGCGGATCCAGCTGGTTTTGGGTTGGTGAAAGGTGAACTCACACAGCCATGGACAAAGGAATGAAGCAGCTCTCACAGTCTCTCCCTACCCCAGCAATCTTAATTTGCTTAGGCAACTGTTCACAGCTAGCTCATCAGACTTCCGAATTGGAACTTGGCTATGAACCTTCCATTGCACTTCTGTTTCATTTGACTTCATTTCAGCCATTACTATAAATAAGCGTCCCCCCAAGCAATAATGATCCATCTCAGTTCCAAAACTCATCGAATTACATTATTGATCGTCAAGTCTAATAAACACATACCATGGCTCCTTCTTGTTCTTCTACTGTTTCAGCTTTGCTGATTGTTGCTCTTCTGGCTAGCTCTTTCATGGCTACCTCGTCCGCTCGTACTTTCTACCAAGACTTCGACCTTACTTGGGGTGACGGTCGTGCAAAGATTCTCAACAATGGGAAACTTCTTACTCTGTCCCTTGACAAGGCCTCTGGCTCCGGCTTCCAGTCCAAGAGGGAATATCTATTCGGAAGCATCGATATGCAGCTCAAGCTTGTTCCTGGAAACTCTGCCGGCACTGTCACTGCCTATTATGTGAGCTCCCCACTTCATTGTCTGCCCATAATTTGATTCATCTCGTTTTCCATGTAAATTTCTTTAGACTGACTTCTCTGTGTCCTGTGTTGCAGTTGTCATCTCAGGGCCCAACTCATGATGAAATTGATTTCGAGTTCTTGGGCAACCTCAGTGGAGATCCTTACATTCTTCACACTAACGTTTTCAGCCAAGGGAAAGGAAACAGAGAGCAGCAGTTTTACCTCTGGTTCGATCCCACCAAGGACTTCCATACCTACTCAATTCTCTGGAACCCCCAAAGTATTATGTAAGCACCAATCTATTCAGTATGCATGGATTAACACTTTTCTGTACAGTTTTTCTGAAACTTGCTTGTTTTGCCTTCTCTTTTCAGATTCTCTGTGGATGGAATTCCCATCAGAGAGTTCAAGAACTTAGAGTCGATTGGTGTTCCTTTTCCTAAAAACCAGCCAATGAGAATCTACTCCAGCCTCTGGAATGCAGACGACTGGGCCACGAGGGGCGGGCTCATCAAGACAGACTGGACTAAAGTTCCATTTACTGCATCTTACAGAAACTTCAAAGCAAAAGCTTGTGTCTGGTCGTCTGGGGCTTCGTCTTGCAATTCCCAGTCATTGGCCTCCACACGCAACTACAACAAAGCCTGGTTATCACGGCAACTGGATTCCACAAGCCAAGAGAAGATGAGATGGGCACAGAGGAATTACATGATTTACAACTACTGCACCGACACAAAACGCTTCCCTCAAGGCCTCCCTCCAGAATGTGTCCACACCAACTGAACAGGGATTTCAAGTTAATTTTCAACGCTAGAATCAAGAGCTAGGCTTTGTGTACAATACTCCATTCATTCATTCCTTCCTTTGATCTTTCTTTTGTAATTTTCAAACCCAAATTCTTATCATGCATTGATTATTTTCTTGATTGGTAATAAACTCTATTATTGATTTTTTCATGATCGATCTCTTTAATCCCTTATTGCACCCTGGAACTGAGATGATCAGTCCATCCACATCGAAGTCGAACGAACGCGCATGGTTGAGCCAGGCTAATTAAACTGAACTATCTGTCTAAACGATGAACGGCCTTATTTCTAGAACATTTATGTAACTTTACAATCTACGATTTATTCCATGACTCAGTTTCTAATTCTGTTGCGTAACTTGTCTGGTTTGAATGTTGCGTTCACGTAGAAGTTGGTGAAGATTGTTTCACAAAGAAAGCAAACTCTAGCCAAGAGAGTAATGTAATTACAATAAGAAAGACGGAGCTAGAAACAAAGACTCGTTGCGAGCCATTGTTCCGGACGTAACATAGTATAAGAAGCCAGAATAAAATTAATCACAAAATTCATACTTGATGGAATGAATACAACTTAGTAAGGATGTGTTTGTTTTGAAAGAAAAGGTAGGGAAAGGTAGGCTGTGTTTGAATGTCACGGTGGAAAATAATCTATTGAACTTTTGGTTGGGGGAGGGGTAAAATACTTAAAACTACCCCTAAGTTTTATAGGAAATGGACTAAAACTTTCTTTCCCTAAGTTTTATTATAATTGACTAAATATTCCCACGACTTTATATCGTTCATATTTGTATTTGTATTCCTACCAAACTGAACCTTGGGAAGAGTGCAAATACAAATATATAAAGTGCAATACCTTAATGTATTTCTAAACCTTGTATTTATACTATTAGGAATGGCAACAGAGTTGGGATCATATTTCCCGTTTTCGACCCTATCGGAGATAAAACTTGTCCTCCATTATCGATCCCTGGCTGGGTCGAGTTTTCCGTAGAGACCCAAATCTTCAATTTTTTTTTAAATAACAATATTTTTTGAAAAATAAATTTACTTAAAATAAATAAACATTTTAAAATATACATAATATTTTAAAAATATATATATATATATATATATATAATCGGGGTCAGAATGGGGCGAGGACCTCAGTTCCCATTCCCAACCTTGACCCCAATTGGGAATTCCTATTAATTCCCATCTTTGTCCCCGCCCCACCAAAGTAATTCCCTTCCCCGACCCCATCAAATCGGAGAAATCGTATCCCTACCGGGGATGGAGAAAACTGCCATCCCTATATACTATACATATTTGTATTTGTAATCTTCCCAAACTGAGGCTAGAAAGTAGTCGTGCGTCTGATGATTCTTTCCTCGACTCCAACTTATAAAGCAGAAGAGCTCGTACTCTGCTGTATTGTTGACCAAAGGTTGCATCCCCTAGTCGCCCCTGTTCAAGTCTTGTCAAATCTGAAACCCAATAAGAATCTAAACTGATAAAGATGTAGGGATGTAATACGCATGTAGAAGGAAGTGAACTTATGGAAGACACTTGGTCGGCAACAAATTTAATTTCACCTTGACATAAAAACAGAGGATTTCATTTCAGGCATTTTGCATTTAGGGATTCATTTCATTGCCAAAGTACAGAACCGGAGCCATGATTGTTTGTGACTTGCTTTATGTGGAAATTGATCGACTAGGGTTTCCAAGACTGATGCTAGCTCATAGATAAAGTTACATGTCAAGAAATTAAAATTAGAATAATATAAAATTCAATAGAAGAACTAAAGCTTCCACTCAAGCATCCAAATTGTTGACTGAGACTATTATATTAAATCATTCTTCACAATGGAAAAAGGTGTATCACAACAATTAAAGAAGGTCTACTACGAGTTTGTGACCCCATGCAAGGCTGCATTGGATCCGAAATTCCAAAAGAAGGATATTCGAATCCAACAAATAGGATCATATCGGATCACCGATCCATTTGCCCCCTTCTTAACATGAGGTGTATTACATGAATTGGTTTTATGGTGGAATGAGTTCTAAGGTCCATTTTGGATGGTGATAATGGCACATGGACCCACGTGACGTGACTGCCCCTACGTAGGTGGCTTTGACCTGGGCTTTTCTTTCACTCACGTGAGTACTTTCTTAGACCCGAGTTTCAGGTGGCCTTGTGACTTGTGACACCACAATTTGGGCCTTCAATTTTAAACCCAATACATGGGTCTATTAGTTTCAGCCCATTATTTCACCCCTACATTGGGCTTTTCTTTAGGGTATTTGCCATCTAAGAGTGAATCGTTGTATGTAAAACCAAATTAGTGGATTAGTGGGGTTAGTCTCAGGATGCAAATATATGGATTTTAAAATGTTTTAGTTTCATAAACTCTTATATTTGATTATTTTGGATTCGGATGATGTATTTATATAATTGGATCGGATTTAAATATTATAATTTACATCCGATTAATGATTGGATAGGATTTGGATTTGACCCCATTCAATCCGATTAAAATCTGAATCCTATTATATTATAATATTTATTACTTTTAATGTATAAATTCTATATAATTATATTAAAAATTATAAAAATAATATATTATATATGAATTTATATATATAATAAATTTAGAATATTATATTATATTATATATAAAAATTGAAAATTAAATAAATTTCTAATTTTTCTAATATTTTAGATATTTTAAAGCAGATTCGGATTACATCCAAATCCAATCCAAGTCCATCAGATTCAAATTCAAATCCGAGTCTTTAAATCCAATCGGGTTTCTGATCAGATTCGGATGTAGGTTCTTAAGATTCACATAGGATGCACCGATTACAGCCCTAGTGCCATGGTGATCAATTTGTTCATCTTGGCCAGATGGTTGAACCGTTGAACTATTGACCCAAAAGAAAAAGTGGTTCAACCTCCAAGCTACATGGGTATTTGCATTTTCTCAAAAAAAAAAAGATGGGTATTTGCAGCTGTATTGATAATGTTATATATAACATCGTCGAACCGTTTCATTGGGCCTTATGGCCTCCAGAAGTTTCAAAACACCTTCTCGCTTTGGCCCCTCTTCACCTTTTCACCTTTTCAGCTTATTAATTTGTCTGACCCATAAATCTTAATGCACACACACATGGTCTGATCATTTCCACATTCTTTGTATCAACTAAATTAACAGATTAATGGAAATGCTTCTAATCCTTTCCTTCTGATAGATAATTAAATGCCAAATTGTCAATATAAAATGAAGAAATTAAGATAAGAACAAGTACAAAAATAATAACTAAAACAAAAGATTTTTTTTTTATTGTTTGCAATATCATAATACAGCAGTTGGTATAAACAAAGTAAAACCAGAATTTACAGGTAGTTTTTTTTTTCCTTTTCTTCTCAATAATTTGTACAGACAACGAATAGTATATATACAAAAACAAAGCTTATTAAGCAGCAGAATTTATGGTGCACTCAGGAGGAAGGCCCTGAGGAAATCTTTTAAAATCCGTGCAGTAGTTGTAGACCATGAAGTTTCTCTGCACCCATCTGAGCCTCTTCTGACTTGTGGAGTCCATCTCCTGTGACATCCAAGTATTGTTCTTTGATGAAGAAGAAGCACAAGAGGAAGCACCAGATGACCAAACGCAAGCATCAGCCCGGAAATTTCTGAAGGAGGCTGTGAAGGGAGCTTTGGTCCAGTCGGTTTTCACCAACCCACCTCTTGTAGCCCAATCATCTGCATTCCAAATGCTGCCATAGAGCCTCATGGGTTGGCTCTTTGGGAAGGGAACACCATTGGACTCTGCATTCTTGAACTCTCTGATGGGAGTTCCATCCACATAGAAGCTGCAAGAATGAGGAGAAAACCAAACAATTAAGTTGAAGAACAGAGATACACAGATTACAGACCAAGAAATTAAGATTTGATTCAATCACGCTACCATGTATATATGTGCACTTACATTATGTGGCGAGGGTTCCAAAGTATGGAATATGTGTGGAAATCCTTGGTTGGGTCGAACCAGATATAGAACTGCTGCTCCCTGTTCCGCTTCCCATGGCTGTACACATTGGTGTGAACAATATAAGGGTCTCCGCTTAGGTTACCCAAGAACTCAAAGTCTATCTCGTCATGGCTAGGACCTTGAGATGATAACTGCAGAAGCAGCAGCACAATAGATTGATAGACTGTTAGCTCTAACATAGGAGAAACAACTTCAAAAGAAAATGAAAGAAATCTTATGAACTTACATAGTAGGCGGTGACAGTTCCAGCTGAGTTGCCGGGGACGAGCTTAATCTGCATATCAATCTTCCCAAATAGATACTCCCTCTTAGATTGAAAGCCAGACCCAGAAGCCATGTCGAGAGACAATGTAAGAAGCTCGTCATTGTTGAGTATCTTAGCTCGACCATCGCCCCATGTGATATCTAAGTCTCGATGAAGATTGCCGGCGTAGATAGCTACCAAAGATGAGCTTAACAGCAGAGAAACCAGCAGCAGAATTGAAGCTTTACCAAAACCCATGAATGCAAATGCAAGAGAGGTAGAGGTTGAACTTAGGCTATTGATCATGTGAGATTGGATCTGTTATTCTGTATACACGATAAAGATGTTAGATGGATTTATATAGTTGTCAGCTGGGGAGAGAGGATCTGTGGTTTGTAGGAAGACTACTAGAATGAGCGAATGAAGTCGGTCTATACGGAATATGAGTTGGCAGTGTTGCTGGAAGCAGAGAGATGTTTCTGGAGTCTCAGGTTATGACGTATTTGATATGAGTATGACAAACTAGAGTACTCGACAAACTATTGGGGGAACTTTTATGAAACTTTGACCCTTGAATGAGTCGCTTATGGTTTAGCCATATTGACAAATGCCTGTTTGTGAAAGGGTTGAGGAGCAGCGGCTCATGGCTTTCCGAGATGGCCCCACACGGACAGCCACCAATCAATGTTTCGTGAGAAATCCGGAGAGCACAAATGAAGGATTGGACCATCAGCCTCTTTTTGGGAGTTCAAATCAGCCCCCTCCAGATTGCCCCCTGTCCCATAGCACATCCCCATTGTGTATTGTGAATATCTCCCAATGATAATATCATCATTTCTGGTATTATTATCAGGAGATATTCTCAATACACAGCGGGGATGTGCGGAACTGTTGTGGGAGGCTGATTTGCTCAATAGTCTGTTGGTCCGTTTAGAAGGGCCATTACAAGAAAAATGATTTAAGCCGGCGGTCTTTAAGACCACCGCTATAGAAATAATGAGCTGGCGTTCTTACAAAGACCGTCGCCCATAACCGAAAATAAAAATCTAAACGGCGGTCTTTGAGAACAGGCGCGACACTTTTGCATTTAAACCGGGCTGAGATGGTCTAAATAGCCTCTTGCATTTGAGAGAGAGAACAAAAAATCAAAAACTCTCGCACTCCCTCCTTTTACTTCGCGTGTTTGGCAAGTTTTTCTGGCAAAACATTTTTAAAAATCGATTAAGAAAAGCTTTTGAATGTGAGGGGGCTTCTTTTTCTTCTTCTCCTTCTCCTTCTTATTCTTCTCCTTTTTCGTGGTTGATTCAGTTGTGTTTTCTATGATTCTAAGGCATTAATTGATGAAATTGAAAATAGTTTTCTTCATGGTTTGATCAAAGATGACATTCATGCAAGCTCTAAACCATTTACCACCTCATGCATCTAGGCAGGTTACAGGAAAAATCGGCTTTAGCAATGGACACAACTGTTGCAAAATGATACCAAAAACCATTGCTAAAGGATATAGCAACGGTTTAGCCATGGTTTTTTTGTCGATAGCGGATGTTGACGTACCTAAAACCTATAGCCACAGATATTGTAGACTGTAGCTACAAATATACGTATAGCAACAATTTTAACTGTTGCTAATAAAAAAATTTATTGCAACAGATTTATTTTGTACCATTGCTACAAATTGCTATAGCAACGGTTTTAGCCGTGACTATAGAATATGGGCTATTGATGAATAAGTAGAAATAGCAATGGTTTTAAATAAAGTATTAACAATTCTTTTGTATTGCCACGGTTTTTTACATTTACAATTACTATAAAATTCTTATGGCAATGGTTAAGGTTAAAAACCAATGCTGTAGAATGGTTGTCACATAATATAATCGCTTCAAAACTAATGTTGTATGGCACCTTTAGCAACGGTTTTATTTTGATGAATGCCATTACAAAAAAAAAATTAATTTCACCTATTCTTATATGATAAAACCTATACAAATTTATACAAAATATTCATAGTAGTATTTGTTCAATGCACACTTTTAATAATTTTTTTCATCACCAAAAAGGAAAAGAGAATTAACAAAATATCGTCATTGCATCTAAACAGTTGATTATATGCATGTGCATCACATTCAAGACCTTCGCTTTGGATCATAAACTTCAGTCTGTCATGTTCAAGAAAGATGAATGCATAAAGATTTATGTCAATAATTAAATATATAAATTAAATAATGTGAGGATTTTATATGCACTATACATTATCATTGATTTAACCCATGCGATGTGAGATCCAAGTGCATCTCTAAGAGTTGCTATATTACCACATTTCCTCAACAAAACTAAGTCATTAATTATTATTGATTTTAAGGATATTTCACGCCATCTATGACCAAGTGCTTCATTACCCACCACCTTTTTAGAACCTTCACTAACAAGTATATCTCTTGCCACCTCTTTCTTAACACTTCACATGTTTAAATGCCTGCACATTAAATCATTTTAAGATTATAATCATACTTTTCAAGAGAAATAACATTTATTATATCATACTAAGAATACCTCATCCAAATTTTCATTTGCACATTGAATGGATTGATTGTTGCCCACACGTGAAGTATGTTCCCAACTCGCATTTTCTAACAGTTAACAGTATAGATATTAAGTATTGTTTACTTATAATAAATTAGTATTTTATAACCACACATTTACCTTATGTGGGATTACCACTACTAGCAGATGAATGCATTTGGTGTGGAGAATTCAAATGAACATTTTCAGCATTTTGGACCTAAATTACAATAAACAAATATCATTATCATATAAAGTCCAGCCAATTGGTATATGTATAATTATTTAGGTATTGTAAGAAACAATACTTACTTGTCTACCTAGCACAAGACTCCTTAGTTCAAAAAACTTTGTAGCTATATTCTTCATTTTGCCCTCTAAGTCATTGATTTTATCTTTTAATCATCGATTTCCAATCTCCAATTCAATATTCAAGACACGTCTCCTTGGTTCAAGTTCCCATAAATCTGTTGGAGCTGGACCTAATTCCATCAAGCACACTCAATCATGCCCTTCTGGTTTACCGATAACTTGAGCAAAAATATCATCTTGGGCGATAACACTTCTCTGTAAGAATCCTTCATTATTTTGTTGAGAGGACGCAAACTCATCGATCTTTGACTACAATATATTAATTAAACAATTTAATTTATAAAATTATATGCAGAGTTAAAAAATACCACAAATAAAAAAATCCAAGTATATACCATAATCTCTACATATGCATCACCGATAGGTCTGTCATCCTTACGAGTATGTGTTCTTTTAAAAAGAGTAGCCCTGTCTAATACTTCCCCAACCTCTTTTGCCTATTTTCATATATACAAAATTAATATCTTTTGGTTAGCAAATAAATTTTAGTAGTTACTCAGAAAATATAAAATTGAAACTTTATCTATTTGATAATTCTTGCTAAACTTTTTGTTCCTATACAATGGCTTATTTTCTTTAAAGCTTTATTTACTTTGCTAAATATATAATAAAGAAAAGTAAAAAAACAATATATTAGTATGTTTAAATAAGAAATCATTTTTAATGAATTTAATTTGCATACCTTAAAATTTTCGGATTACCACATTTGAAGCAAATTTACCCACTATTCTTTAACAACACAATCCGGGAGGAGTAAGTTGTTCTGCTATTGGAACTTCAGGCTTATAAAAATCTCGATATAGAATACACTTCCATTGCTTCCATTTTGCATTTAGGTCATTTAAATACCACTCTTTATGATCATCTAAAACATCAAACTTACCATGCATTGCATATGTAAGAATGAGATTTTATATATCATAATTCATCACACATATTTGATTATTTGAAAAATGTTCAAATCAAAAATATAAATAGTGAATAAATTGAAAAGAATACCTTGATAATAAACTGAGACATGCTATTTCCATTACATGCTATTGTGCTAATAAACTGAGACAATTTTCCATCTTTTGGTTGACCATACTTATTAAAAGATACAGAAATATGCTCATTATCATTCATTTTACACACATATTTACAAAAAATGGGGCTTCTTGTTTTCTTGTGCTGTGAGGACTCTATTTGTGGAGGTAATTGGTCTTCAGTTTCCTCCTGAGAATGATGAAGAGGGCAAAGGGTCTACTTGGGGGTTGAGAAGCTTGAAGGTGTTGCAAATGAGATTATTGTGTTTCAGTCTCTTGTTCTTCAACTTCCCTATTTAATTGAGAATTTAGGACTTGCTGCACTCGATTTGTTTGGGATCGTTTTCTTTTTGATGCCCTAGAAAAAAATCCAAGGGAATCAAAACCAAATGGTGCAAAGAAAGCCCATCTATGGTGTGCCCTCAGTATCTATGTTCAACATCACTGGTTTGTGAAGAAGAATTCAAGAGAAACGATTACATGGAGATTATTTGAGATTTTAGAGTTCTTTTTTCTGGGCGTTTGTGAACTGGGTTTGAGCAAAGTTGTTGATATTCTTGATTTTAGGTTTGATTCTTTGACAACTTGGGCTTTTTAAAAGGACTTTTCATTCTCTTCTGTTGGGACTTTTGGGTTTATAGACTTGTTTAAGTCTCCAAAGTTGAGAACTTAAGGCTTTAGAGAGCTAGGATTTCAGGAATTTCAAGAACTGGAGAGACTTGCACTCAAGTTTATGAAATGGGTGTTGTATGATTTGGTGACATTTAAGATCTAAGTGGTTTATACTAGAAGCTCTGAAGGCTTTGTAGCTTCGGCTAGTTTCAAATTTTCAATTCATTATAAAGCTAGGGAGTGAGAAAAAGTGAGCTTGAATTCGAAGCTCTGAAGGTTGATTTAGGTTCTGAAAATTGGTGCAAATGCTTCTCTACTGTAAATATTGGTAATCAGAGGCTTTCTATTTAAGGTATTAATCAGGTTTCAAGAAATTTGTTAAGCTCTGGTAAGCCTCTATATGAATTGTTTTCTTCTTCTGTTGGCCTCTGTTTTGAAGTTTATTTAAACTAGCTTAAGTTGGTACTTGGCAGTTCTATTCATTTGATTTAGTCTTCCTCTCTGCAATACCTTAGGGGTTAAGGTTAAAGGATATGTTTGATTTGATAGAAAATAAGAGAGATGGAAAGTCCAAGGAAAGTTTTTAACAAATTATGTAAAATTTCTTGAGAGATTTTTGTTTCTTATTTTCTATCTAACCAAATATAACCCAATATGGTTTCTCTCTCTCTCTTGGTTTTGTTAATTGTGTTATGGCCTTATGGATTAGGTATAAAGGCAAAACAGGGGTATATTGTTGCTAACATTTGGAGTTCTTCATTTGACAAGTTAGGAAGATGGAATACAGAGTGGTTGCATATTTGCCAATGGCAATTCTAGCATCAAGTTTTGCAGAAATTACGGCTTATGCCACTAGAGAACCCCCTTATGGACAATATTACGTGGCAGGAGTAACAAGGGCAACATTTTCTACTTCTGAACCAGGTAAGTCTACAAGATTGGTTCAATGTTTAAGTCTGTTGTCAGAGTCGGATCAGACCAGAATGTTGGACTGGATTATTGGGCCAGAAACCGCTGGTTCTTAGCAATATTGATAATTGAAGTTTACCCTAAAATCTAAACATGTGTGTTAGTAGGCCTTAGTATTTTAAGTTTTTCAATATAAAAAATAACTTTAATGTTATTCGAATGGGTTGCAGAAGTGCAAGTCAGACTGGTTAGGTCGATTTGAGTTAGGGATGGCAATTTTCCCCATTTCCTTGATCCCTGTGGGGATCCGTCCTGAATGGGGCAGAGATGCCATGATTTTCCTCCCGTGAGGACGAGGATGGGGAAATTTTTGTCCTCGTTGGCAGGGATGGGGCAGGGACGGGGAGAGCATGGGGACCCTGATCCCCGTTAATATGTACATATATACAAGTATTCCAGTAGGTACTATTGCTCTTAGTCCTCATCTTCTTCTTCTTCCTGTGCTAATCTTATTTTTGCTTTTCTATTTTCAACAGATCGAACAACCCTTAGTAGCTCACACCGGCGATCAACATTCTTGGAACAAAACTAATCTCCCCAAACCCTAACCCCTATTTAAGTAGACTAAACTCCCCATATCCTATTTTCAGTTTCTCCCTACAAGATTTGGTCTGTATATGTTCACAATATTTACTATTGCAACGTAGTTTTGTTGTCGTTGTAATAGATGTTGTTGGAGATGGAAGGACATTCAAGAATTGTAGAATTCCATGGATTCGATGAATTGCTAGGAAGCAACAACAACAACGAATGTGAAAAAGAATATGGAGAGAGAAAGGTAGAAGAAGAAGAAGATAAGGGGTGTTGATGGTTTGGGCATGGTGGCGTGGCCATGTGGGGTGTTAAAGACTAAGTAGGTGTTTGGCATTGGTGTTGGGAACATTGCACCGTTTTCTCATAAAAATGGTGTTGGGTATGTAGAGTTGTGGTGCTTATTTTTTGTTTGAAACTAGTGTTGCCATATAGATGTTTTCTGAGGAAATGACACTGATTTTGTTTGGTAGTAGTGTTAGAAGCGACGTTTTCAACATTGATCTATATCATCCAACATCCAAGATGATGCAACATCATTGCATTGCTGGGAGCAATGCATCGTTTTCTCAGAAAACATTGAATTTAGCGTTGCTTCAAACCACATTTTCTTGATTCCCAAGGCATGGTTTGGAAAAACTTTTTTTTTTTAGAAAAACAATACCAAACAATAGGGCATTGTTTGAAGCACTACTTTCTCTGATGTGGCACCTACGTGGCATTGTTTTCTAAACGACGTCGATGCCAAACACCCACTAAGGCTAAAGAGTGGAGAGGGGTGTGAGGGAAGAAGATGACTTGACCACTAGAAAACAAGGAGGAGAGGAGGAAGAGAAGAATAAGAAAAGTTTATTGTCAATCGCCAGTCTTTGGTTGAAATGTCTAACGTCGAACGTCGGCTTTTGTGATCATCAGTGGTATAGTCACAATATTCTAACTTCAGAGAGAAGATGGAACTTGGGAGGGAAGTTCCAACGAGAGAGAAGTGTAGTTGGGTTTTATTATTTTTTGTCTTTTAGGCTTCGTTTGGATCCGGTGTCGATGACGTTTTACACTGAACCATATAATAGGTAATCAATACATTTTGAAAATCGTGATAAAAAAGTGTAAAATTTTACACCGATAAAATCGATGTAGTATTCACATCGATAATCAATATAAAACTTTATGCTTGATGAGGTTTTATATAGATTCATAATGTAAAACTCCACTCCATCCAAATGCCAACAAATCTTAACCTAGTGGAGTTTTACATCAATCTTCATTTATATTCCTTCCAAACGTAAATAAAATCGAACCAGTGTAAAATTTTACATCGATCTTGACTTACACCGATTCCAAACGCAGCATTAGTGGCTCATTCACTTAGTTGACCATTATTCACCGAGCAGCTCTGTTAAATTTCTGCTAATTCAAAAGGATGACGTGTTCGATTTTGATTTGCAGGTGCACGCTTCCAGTGAACCCACAGGCTCACAGGATGCGAACTCGCTAGCAGGGCACGCCGCTACAGTGCTGGAGGCTCGCAAAAACCCTCATTACACCTCTAGTCCTGGCCTCTTGCGTTTGAGAATAAAACCCCCACCTCAGTCTTAAGTCATTTTATTTTGCCGTTAACAGCGTTCAAATCGTGAAAATTCGGTAGGGGCATCTGGCATTTTTGAAAGTTCGGGTAGTAACATGACACACCCCCAATAGTTCAGGGGGTTTTTAAAGTTTACCTTAAAATTTCTTAAACCGATGTCAAAGACTCGAAATCAAGTGACCTCCCTTCATTAGAGTCAGAGAGTTCCGGCGCTTTTGCGGAGCGGGCTAGCCGCTAGTGGGGAAGGAAGAGAAAAGTTTTCTTGGGTAACGGGTGAGAAGTAGAGATGGGAAGGCGAATACTAAACGACGCATTGAGAACGATTGTTAATGCAGAGAGGAGAGGAAAAGCTACTGCACAGTTGCAGCCCATATCGACCGTCATGACTTCCTTTCTCAAAATCATGAAGCATCGAGGTACTATCTCCGTTTATTAGGAAAGTCCTTTGGTTTTCTGCAATGGGTTTGCCTTCGAAGATAACCAATTACCAAAGCTGTGTTATTTTTTTTTTTCTATAGTTCCTATTTTTCTTCAGAGGTGGGGCTCATTTTGTTTGATGTAGCATATGCTGGCCATTGTCGAATGGAGTGCATCCGGTGGTGAATATATGTTTCACAGTGTTATTAGTTTGCTTTGATTTTTATTTTTCAAGTATGAAATTTTCTAGGTGGGCTTTCGTGTTATTGCTTTGACGTGATTTGATTGTCGCATGGTATTATTGTTGTTTGATTAATTGCTTGAATTAACTCTACTGTGAGAACTGAGAAGTCAGCACTTTTACTGATTGGTTTTCTTCAAGATTTTTCAAGTTTGCAGGAGCATATTCCTAAATTTCCAGATGTAGAACTTTTAAGTTTGTTGCTTTTGTAATATAGACGGAAGCTGACATAAGAGAAAGAGAAAGGTCTGAGTAATATCAAAATAAGTACATTGTATTATCATCAACAAAGATTTCTATACCCTAGTAATTGAATTATTGACGTATAACTGATCCCTGTTGGTTCCAACTTTTTCTTTCCAAGTTAATTGGCAAAATATTTTCTGATTTAGGTTGTCCAAGAGAACAAGAAAATTGGAAAATTCTGAAATTGGTATAGGAATTGGAAAATTGGTTTATTTCCTCATTATTCCTTTCTTTCATATCAGTGGCAGGAGCTTTTGTTACCCAATATGCCTCCTATTGGATTAAGCCTTAGCCACACCTTGTACAATGAAACCTAGGGTCCTTAACATCTGCAACCAAAAGAAGAGGTTGCAACTAGTAGTCAAAAGAAGAGGCAGCTTGTTTGGAGCAGATCAGTGCGAAATATTCCAAAAACTACAGAGTTAGCGGTAAGAGGTGTTCGGTATCTGTTGCGGATAGTAGTTGAAGATGTTGAGACCCCGGTTGATAGCCGAGCTCAATGTTGTAGCAAGTGGGACTCGGATACGTTTCCCCTTGTTTTGATACACTTAGAGAGATTAGGAAAAGTCCCATTGAAGCCTCTGTTTTGCTCTTGTTTTCCTGAGGTTTCCATGCAAGGCAAAGGGGAAACATGTTTTGGTGTGGGGGAAAGAGTGGCAAAGGCGCCCACCAAACGAAGAAGAAAACACAGAAGAAGGAAAGGCAGATTGCCGTCTACCACTGACGTTGGAGAGGTAAGGGGAAAGGAACTTCAAGCGATCCTGTTGTAGCTCGGAGACAACATGGAACTTTCTCCCCAGCTTTCACCGACGTGGATAAGAGGGAAACCAACCCCGGATCCTGTGCAGGCAGATTGTTCGTTACTGGTTGATCGGACGTCATTTTCCTTAAGCGCGACTGCTTTCTCCTCTCAAGGCATGCCATAGTGGGTTGGCCTTTCAAATTTCAAATAGGATTTCAACCTTTTCGTTGTGCTGGGAACTTGCAAATCTGGTTTGTTATCAACTTTGCATCCAGGTTGACCCCTATGGGTTAACCCAATAAAATGTTATTACTCGCCTGGGTCACCTAGAGTCCAGAAGTGCCACTTGGAACCACAGAGTTTGATAAAGCCCATGTATCCTAGTTTTTCCCAGAATTAAGTTCCCCTAAATTGCATTGAGAAGCATTTTGCGTCATTGAAAGATCCCCTTGTCTGTGGAGAAGGAAAGTTTGGCTTGCAAGAACCCTCTTCTGGTATTGAAGCCCATGCTATCATCTCCCTTGATTGTCCTCCTGACAATTGTTTGAACTTGACAGTGCCTTCAGCCCAAGTTGAGCCTCCCTCTCTTGGCGGCCGTCTGAGTGAACCTGTCTCTGGTTTGCAAGGGGAGAAAACTTGCTGTGAGCAGGGCATTTTAGATGATCAGGTGGACAAAGCGCTTTGCTTCTGGAAGACCCTCGGGGTGTCCTTTCCTTTGGATCAAAGTGCAAGTTTGGGAATGGTTCAAGGCTAAGCTCTCTGAGGAGGCGAAAGCTTATCATACCTAATATGATCTTCTCTCTAGGTCAGATTTAGAATTAGAGATGGAAAGTTCGTGGTCTGGTTACTCGTCTGATGCTTTGGTTTTTCCCCTCGGGAGCAAAAAAATCTAAACAGTTGGCGGACTTTTACGATGTGATGGTGGTTAGGCCTCCATGCAAAGGCTAGAGTAGCACTAGGGGGAGGGGTAGAAGAGGAAGAGGAAGGGAGGTGTTGACCTTCTCTAGTTAGTTTGCTGTCTGCCTGGCTTTTTGTGGCTCCTTCACTTTTAGCTACATTTGGCTTTATTTTTTTGGGTGGCTGAGGCCTTGTTTGTGTGTCTTTTAGTTTCTGTGTGTTTCTTTGTCTTGGTGAGTTTTAAGTCTGTTGTTTTGTACTTTGGAGCCGGGTGTGGCTCAGTGGAGCTGTTCTTTTGTTTTTGTATATCTCTTGTATTCTTTTTTTGTTTAATAAATTCTACCTTACCTTTTTCAAAAAAAAAACAACTTTTCTTGAATGATGAGTTAGGTTAATTTAAATATAGACTGATAGAGAACTATTTGCTGAGTAGAATGAAATGGGAGTAAAGGAAGTTGTTAGATCTCTCTTAGTGGCACCTGAACTTGAAGATTCGAGAAATTGTATCGATAAAAGAAAGGAGTCAAGAAACTGCATCTGCAGGCTTCAATTTTGATAGCTTGTCTCCCAATGTTTGGGAAGCAGAAGTCTTACAAGTCTCTGGCTTGACTTCCTCCAGCCTAAGATCTCGAGAAGCCTGCTTGTTGAAACAGTACACTTTTGTTCACAACAGAAGTCAGTGTGAAAAAACATGGTTGGAAGAGAAGTAAACTTCGTGACACTCTCAAGGTGGAGAAAATCTCTGAAAGTGGAGGCTAAGGACTTTCTGTTTGGGGAGGTGAGAATCAAGGGGCACCCTAGTTTGAAGGTAAGGGAAATGAAGTTGGAAACAGTTTTGATAGAAGGTTCTGAGATGGTGGAATGACTCTAGGACTTTATGGTCGAGGCTGCTGCAAAGGGAAAGAAACCAAGCTGGAAAGAAAATCTCACTTTGACAGGACGAAGGTATGTATTGGAGTGCAAGAGAAATACGAGAGGATCCTTCATTGCTCTTTCTGAGTTTTTTGCTGAAGGGAAGAAACAAGTGGTGTGCTTCCCTGAAGTTAAAAAGAGTCAAGGATGGCAAAGGGTTGCATTAGAGTTGAATGCTATTCTTAACCATTGGAAGATAGGAAATCAGGAGGTTAAAGAAGTTGAAGCAGCAGACACCCCCTCTGATTTCCTAGGCCCTTATACAGAACATCCCAGCCATGGCACACAGAAAAACCAACCCCATTGTCACTATTATCAGGAGGAAAGATTATTGGGAAAGCATGCTAGTTGTTGAAGCCAAGAGACCAGTCTCCGATTGGAAGGAAGTTTCTAATCTTGTGTAGCATAGGTTAAAACTTAGACACTTTCATACTAACTCTCTTTGATAGCATTAAAGCAGTGCTCGACCCTCTTGACAGTGTGGTAGAAAGTACAACTCTAAATTTTCAAGAAGCTTGGGGGATCTTTTAGTCTGTTTAAGTGGACTGAATCCTCAAACTCTAATTTTTTTTTTCAGTTGAAGATGGGATGGTAGTTAGGGTAACTGGGCTGCCTTTCCCTCTTTGGGCCCATGAGGTTGCAGCCTCCATTGCAGTCTTATGTGGAGCTCGTCTTGATGGAGAATTTTGGGGGTACCTTCGATCAGGAGCACTTCTCTTGAGTGGAGTTAAACCAAAAGAGATCCCCAGGAAGGTGATTTTGTATGTGGATGAAATTTTTATCTCAGTGTGGCTGGTTTCTTCCATTGAAGTGGCATTGTGGAAGGAGGGGAGAAAGGAAGAAGATGAGAGGGTGGAAACATAGATGCTACGTGGAAATTTGGGATTAGAGAATCAGTGGTTGGATAGATATTACACAAAAATGGATAAACAAGCTTTAGGCTCTTCGGAAGTTTATGGAAATATGGAAAATGAAAGACGTGGCAGAAGAAACTAGACTAGCACCTACTAGGATCTATGCTTAGATGACTATGGATGGCACCAAAAGAGGGGTTTTGAATGTTTTAAACAGCTCCATGGTAAAAGAAGGGAGTAGGAAGAATAAAATGGATGGGTTGGTATTGAAAACTGGTGAACCGCTGGATCAAACCAAAGGAGGGGTTTACTTAAAGGGTCGTGTGCCGACCCAAGATGAGACCTCTAGGTCTAATGTACTGCCAAGAACCATTGCTCCTGAGATTGGAGCCGGACCATTTAAAAAGATTCTTGGGTTGATTGATGGGCCAGGGGTAGAAGGCCCATCTACGCCAAAGGCACATGATATCTTAAAGCCTCATGTGAGGGAGAGACAGTCCTTATGAGATGGTACCGGCCATCTATCATCGTCCTCAAATGTGCGAAGCCTCGATCGAGAGCCCTCTCAAAACGATAGTTCTCTAGTGGATTTCAACCAAAAAACTCAAAGGACTCTCCACAGATCGACGTAACCCACGTAGTAGTAAATGTAGCGAGTTTGAAAAGATTGAGCTAGGTTTCTCAATGGAGGAAGAAGTAATATTTGACTCTGAAACTGAAGATATTGTTAGTTTGGGAAGTGTGGATTTGTGGCAGTCAAAGGGTTTCTATGAAGAGGATAGTCTAAGCATAGAGCTGTTGTTCTTAGAGAATGCTATGTGTGAACCCTTAGCAGAGGTTCAGGAGGATTTTTCTCAAGTTCGTATGTCACCAAGAGATGTGGTGAAATTAGTAGAAGTTACAGAGGATTTGCAGTGTACACCCAACCCAACAACAATTGATCCCGATCCAGAAGTGCATCCCTTTTGCACCAATGAATTAGAGGAATAGGAATTACTTCGACTTTTGAACACCAAGTCAACGGTTAGGGGAAAACACTCTAAGGTGGACTTGGATGCCGTGTTCATTATAGTGTTAGTCGATCTTGGTTCACTTCCGCAACTCCCT